CAAAGGGAAAAGGCTGCTTTCAAGCATGAATCATTTTTCACAGGCTTCATTAAAATAAAATAAACTTCCTTGCTAGTTAGTGAAAGGCAGTGGGAGGAGGGTGGGGAAGGAAATTCTAAACTCTTCCTTCTGTGCTGAAGATAAGGAAAGATGGCTCCATTCTTGCCATTTGAAAAAGGTAGAAGACAACACATCCATTCTTAAGATAAATAAAAGTAAGCACAAGGCTAGCGCTGGAGACTGGCTAGCTCAGAGACTCAAAATGAATCAACAGCAGAAACGTGAAGAAAATTTAGGTTTTCTGATTCCAAGACCAGTGCTTTGTCCCTGAAGCTTAAATATTTCCAGAAAATGTTATAATGTTATAATGTTATAATCAAGGTTATAATAGTTGGACTTATATATTTTAAGGGAGGTTGTCTTCCTGGATATCTTAAATATATCACAGTATCAATCTCTAATTACAACTCGTCTCTTCCCCCACAAGTTTAACAATATATTTGAAATAATTTGTTTTAATTTTTTTCAAGTTTAAAAAATAATTTTAAATTTTGAAATATTTTTGACCCATCCAAAAAATAAAAGTAAGAACATCTGTGTACTCATCATCCAGCGTAAGAAACACGATACTGGAAATATAATTGAAAACCCCATGATACTTCTCTCCTCCCACATGAGTAAAACACTCTCTGGAATTTGATGTTTATCATTTGTATTTATTTACTAGATACAGGCACTCTGATAGACACTGTTCTAAGTACTTTACAAATATTGACCCATCATTTATCCTCATAACAGCCCAATGAGTTGGATACTACAATTATCATTATTTAACAAATGACAAACCTATGACACAGAGAAGTTAAGTAACTTGCCCAAAGTCACCTAGCTATGAAATTACAGAGCTAGGATACAAATTTAGGAGTTGGGATCTAGAGTCTGTGCTATTATTAACCACTGTGCTATACTACCTCATGCTACCTATCTATCCATCCCTAAACAAAACATACTATATATTATCTCAGTATTGTCACAGTGCTATCATTTTACAGTATGCATTCTTTTGCAATTTGCTTTTTTCCTCTCAATATTTATAATATTCATACACATGAGTGCAGGTAGTTTTAGCTCGCTCATTTTCATTGCTGGTTATGACATCATGTGTGATCATACAGAATTATCCATTTTCATATCAATGAACACTTAGGTGTTTCCAGAATGTTTTTCTACCCCAGACATTGCTGTTATGAACATTCCTGGGCGTGGTTCCTGTGCACACATGCATTTTTTTCTCAAGGATGGGTGCCTAAGAGGAGAGTTGCTGGATCAAAGGGTATGCTTATCTTCAGTTATACCACATATTGCCAACTTATGCTCACATTCCCCAGCAGGTGAGTTCCCATTTTCCATATTATTGCCAAAACCTGGTATGATCTTAAAACTAGGTATAATGTATTTTAACTTTTAAAATTCTTTCCATCTTGTTTTAATTTGCATTTCCTTGATTACCAGTAAGGCACAAGAGCCTTTTAAGCAGGTTTTTATGAGCACTGCCTGTTTTTACCACTTTTCTCTTGAACTGTCTTTTCTTGTTAATTTTTAGGAGTTCTTTGTGTGTCCTGACTAATAACCCATGTCCATATGTTCATTAGAAATATTCTTTCCCAACATGTTCTTGTAATGAATATAACGGGCATGGGAGTTAAAGACACCACTCAAAAAGACAGATAAATACATCAACTAGAATTTTTAGGTCATAAAGTAGGCTTATGTTTAACTTTGTGCAAAACTTCCAGACAGATTTCCAAATTGGTTGTAATATTTTAAACTTCTGCCAGAAATGTATATGAATTCTATCTGTTTCACATTCTTATCAGCATTTGGGTGGTCAGTCTTTTAAATATCATCCATTCTAGTGGGTGTGTAGTGATATCTAACTGTGGTTTTCATTTGAAATTCCCTGATGAGCTATGATTTTGAACACTTTTCATTTGCTTCTTGGCCACTGTGTATCTTCCTTATGAAATGTCTGTTCAGATATTTTGCCCATTTAAAAAAATTAGGTTGTGGGCCGGCCGAGTGGCATGATGGTTAAGAACTGGCTTGGGATGCCAGAGGGCCCCGGTTCGGATCCCACATATGAGGGCCAGTGACACTGCCCTCCACAGCTAAGATGCTGAACAACAGCTCAACCTGGAGCTGGGCTGCCATGAGTCGCTGGCGACAGCGTAGGCTGCAGCCATTGCTGCAGTGGGTTGCCATGGGCTACCGTGTGTAGCCAGCAGCCAGCGTGAGTGGCCAGCAGTCGCAGTGAGCAGCCGTCCAGAAGCCGGCGACTGATCTGTCTCGCCCGGGAATAGCGCAATGATGATGCCAACTTGGGCCAGTGAAGCAACGTCCTCCACAACTAGACTGAAGAAAACGACAGCAACTTGTCTGTTCCCCTTCCCCAATTCCCCAGCGCTGTTCCCATCCCCCAATTCCCCAATAAAAATCTTAAAAAAAAAAATTAGGTTGTTTGTATTTTTATTATTGAGCTGTAGTTATCTCTATATTTCAGATACAAGTCCTTTGTACAATATGCGTATTATGAATATTTTGTCAGCTCACTCATAGCTCCACTGGTATTTCTTTCTCCCCTGGTCATTCTTTTCTGCCCAGTCTTGTGGAGTCTTACTCTGCATACGCACAGCTTAGTATTTGGCCAAAGAGAAACAGCCTTCTATCTAGGCCCCTTTTTTCTGTGTAGCATCCTCCTCTTTGGGATTCTGCTTTGCAGATTCCAGCCACCTCAGGAGCCCTGAGTTCTAATCTCTCTATCTCCTTGATTCAGCATGGCTGCCATGCTCTGTTTGAGCACGGTCTTCCTATATCACAATCTGTAAAGCACCTCCAGGCAGATATCCTGCTGATCAGGGGGCTCATCTCATTTCTTTCTCTTCTCTCAGGAACCATAGTCATGTGTTTCTTTTGTAATATTTGAAAACAGTAATTAATATATTTCACCTAATTTGCAATGAAAGAGCTAATCTGGTGCTAATTATTTCATCATAGCGTAAGAGTTTTTAGTTTTTAATCATAAATGTATTTTGTATTTTATTGAAAATATTTTTTCACCTATCAGAATTATCTTGTGACTTTTCTTCAATTTGTTATGGTGGTGAATTACTTTAATAACCTTTCTAGTGATAAAATGTCCTCATATGCATAAGATAAACCCAACTTCATAGTGTTTTATTTTTTTAATACTTGCTAGATTTGTTTTGCCAATGTTTTGTTTAGGATGTTTATACTCATACGCAAGAATGAAATCGGCCCATGTATTTCCTTTCTCATACTGTGTTGAATTTTGGTGTCAAGGTTATGCTAATCTTTTAAGAGATATAAGGGGTGTGTTAGTTTTCTGTTGCTTCTATAGCAGTTTACTACAAACTCAGTGACTTAAAACAACACAAATGTATTATCTTATACTTCTGGAGGTCAGAAGTCCAAAATGAGTTTTTGGCCAAGACTAAGGTGTCATTAGGGCCACATTCACTCTAGAGGCTATAAGAGAGAAAGGGTTTCACTGCCTTTTCTATCTTCTTTGACTCATGGTCCCCTTTCTGCCAGCAATCACATCACTCTGACCTCTGCTTTGTCATCATATCTCCTCCCACTCTGACTTTCCTACCTTCCTCTTTCACTTATAAGGACACTCATTTAACTACTTGGCCTCCCCTACCTAATCCAGGATAATCTCCCTAGCTGAGATCCTTAAATTAATCACATCTGCAAAGTTCTTTTGCCTTGTAATGCAAATATTCACAGGTTCGAAGGGTTAAGACATGGACATCTTTGGGGAAGGGGCATTATTCTGTCTACCACAGAGGAGAGAACATTCCCCAATTTTCTTTTTATTGAAAGATCTTATATACAATTGCAATTATCTCTTCCTTGAATATTTGATGAAACTTATCTATCAAATATGATCACATATATTTCACATGAAAGTTTGCATGAACACACTGCTCTAAATTTTACTTTTATTATTTTTTAACTAACAATATATTTTGAAAATCAGACCATCACTATATTCAGAGACATCCCTTATGACTTTTTGTAACTTCATAGTACTCGTTGTCTGCGTGTACCATGGTTGTATCAAACAGTTCCTTATTTTTGGACATTTGGGTTGTTTATAGTCTTTTTCTAAAAGTACAGTGCTTCAATGAATAGCACTATACATATGTCATTTCATATTTTTGCTAGTGTATTTTTAATATAGCTTCCTAGAAGTGGAACTGGTGGTTCAAAAAGTAAATACTTCCTTTGTCACCCACGAACTCATCACAGAATATCTTGTCAATCTTTTGGATTATTGCCAAGATGATAGGTAAGAATTAGTATTTCAGTGTACTTTTAACATATCTTTCATATCATAAGATCGATCATCTTTCCTTATGTTTAAGGGCCATTTACATTTTTTGTGAATTATCTAAGATAGATAAAAATGTATTATTCATACACTTTTTTATAGGGCTATTGGCGTTTTTCCTAGTTTTTGGATATTAGATATCAACCACTTTTAGTGATATAAATTACTGATATTTTCAAATTTGTTATTTGACTTCGCTTGTGATGTGGGGTCTTTTTCATTAATGGTTTTATGTTGTCGTGCAAAGTATTTTTCCATTTATTTAGTTTTACTTATATATATGTAATCAAATTTATTGTTCTTTTTTTCTTATTGATTCTGATTTTTGAGTCAGACTTAGGAAAGTTTTCTCCATTCTCAAGTTATAAAGGAATTTAAGCATATTTTCATCTAGTGCTTTTATGGTTTTATTGTTTAGACACATGTCTGATCCATGTGGAATTTATTCTGGGTTTAGTGTGAGGAATGGATCCAGTTTCACCTATTTTTTTTTTCTTATTGGGGAACAATGTGTTTTTCCAGGACCCATCAGCTCCAAGTCAAGTCATAGTTTTCCAATATAGTTGTGGGGGGCGCAGCTCAGTGGCCCATGCAGGAATTGAACCAGCAACCCCAGTGTTATGAGCACGGCACTCTAACCAACTGAGTTAACTGGCCACCACCAGTTTTACCTTTTTCAATGTAGTTATTCAGTTGTCACGCCTCTTCTTATTAAGAATTCTATCTTTTATTCACTAATTTTTACATGTTGCCTTATCAAAACTGAATTCCCGTATTCCCTTGAGTCTATTATAGGGTTTTCTAACAGTCCATTGATGTGCCTATCTACTCATGAGCCAATATTACACAATTTAAGCATACAGGCATTACAATCTATTATAATGTTATACATTTCTTTACTTGGTAGAGCTAGCCCTCTCCTGTCATAGCTTTTCTTTCTGAAGGTTTTTCTGGCTATTCTTGCTCTTCCGAATGTTTATTATAATCAACTGGTCCCCAGTTCCAGGGGGAAAAAAAAAGAAAGAAAAAATTCAGGGAATTGGTATTTTTACATGGAATGTATCCAATTTATAAATTAAAGAAAAAATTACATCTTCATGATTTTGAACCTTCCTACCCAAGAATATGACTTTTCTATTTGTTTCTGTCTATATTTGAGTCTCTAAGGAATATTTTATAGTTTTCCTCAGGTATGCTTTAGACATTTCTTGTTATCTATGCTATAGTTGTTTTCATTTTGTTTTATTTTATTTTGCTATTATAAAATGGACTCCTCTTTTATTATACACTTTAATTATTGTTTGTATATATGAAGAATATTGACCTATGTATGTTGGTTTTTATAATTTGTGACTTTATTAAATTCCCTTATGGTTTATAATAGTTTTCCCATTGATTCTTTTGAGTTCTCTAGAGAGATAATCATATTGTCAACAGGGATAGTTTTAGCTTATCCTTTCCAACTCTTATGTCATTAATTGCTTTGCTTGTCTAATTGCATCATTGGTACATGTTAATTTGATTATTTTCCGTTACCTATGAATGTAGAGTCAAATGGCTTGTCCAATGAATTTCCAAATTTCCATCTGTTAGACAGAAGTCCCGATCTCATCATTAGTATCAATACTTTCATGCCTGTATTTCCTCTCATTTTAATAAAATAATAAGTGCAAATGTGATCAACTATTCCTGCTGTACCAAAATCACTGCTAAGGGGACAAATAGGGCAAATGTAGTCAAGTACCAATATTGGGCAGTTGTTAGGACCTGCTTAATGAGTTCTCCTGAGTGATCTTATACGAAAAGACAGCTTCTCAAGTAGGAAAGGACTTAATATTAAAAGTAATGCAGGTAAGAACAAGTGGTACAAGACTTAGAATTTTTAAAGGTTGAAGACTAGCTGAACATTTTCCATACCTGAAAGATACCTGGGGCAACTCTCTTCTTTAAGATACAAATGTTTTCAAACTATTAATGTGGATACCCACATTTTCTTCCCAGTAAGTGCTTCATATTTAGTACTTGCACATCTTCTCTCTCTTTAAGCCCTCTTATTTTTCTTCTTCTCTTACTAGAAAAGAAAGGATAGAATAGCAAACTGTCTTTGCCCCTCAAAATATGAACTCTCAGGAGCATTTGAGATCTTGCTCCCTGGCATAGATCATCAGTTTGGCTCAAAAAAATCTCTTATAAAAATTTTTTAAAAATCAACTCTCATTCTTCTACCTAACTTATTTAATTCTTTAGCTAGACTCATTTGCTTTTTGCAACTATCAATAACCATACAGGCAAGGCTTCCTATTAGCTTTACAGAAGCTCTTAAACAGAGGCCCTTGAAAAATACTGTTTTATTATAAAGTAACGTATACCTACAGTAAAAAAAAAATACAGATACGTAGGCATTTTTTTCTTCTGCAATTGTTATTCAAATACAAATGTTAACACTTTAAAGTATTTTGTTCTATTTTAAAAATATATTGTTTTACAATGGTGGATACAAGTCATATATTTTCAGAACCCATTCACCAAAGAGTGAACCCCTCATGTTCATTATAGACTTTGGGTGATATGATTTGGTAATGCAGGTTCATAGGTTGTAACATGCACCACTGTAGTTCAGGGTGTTGATAGTGGGAGAGGCTGTGCATATGTGGGGGCAGGGGTATATGAGAAATCTCCCTACTTTCTGCTCAATTTTGTTACGAACCTAAAGCTGCTCTAAAAAACAAAGCCTACTAAATTTCAAAAACATACATATTTTTATGCAATGTTCATGTACTATTATGAACAATCTGTTATTTTCATTTAATGATGCTATACATTGTCTAGTATTCTATTTTATTAATATTTTTCACTTAACTTTTAAATCACTTAACATTTTTTTCACTTAACATTTACATTGCAATTGAATGTCTTACAACCAAACCTATGACTATTTCCCAGAAAAATTCACAGAAATAAAACAATGACTCAAAAGAAATGCACATTTTAAGTGCTTTTGATATTTATCATCATCTCTCATAAGGGCATACTAAATATTTGTTGATTCAATGAATGAAAATTGGTAGCTTTTTGTTGGGAGGGAGGGAGTGAAGCATGAGGGCAGCTGGTTTTTTGTTTGTGAGGGAGCCTGATACCTGAGAGAAAGTGTAAGAGAAAAAAAATCCCAAATGTTTTTCAAACCACAGCCTACTACCCCATCTCCCAAAGACTTGTGACATCTCAAGTGTTAGACAGTTATAGAAATGCTTGTGTTATACCCCCTCTCCCACTGAGACACTGCCCTGTAGGACTGTGTGGTTCTATGACAAAGATAATAATGAAGAAACAAGGCCAGTATATCCAACTTTCAGAGATAGAAAAGTCAGCTAATGAATTTCAGATTTTCAAAATGAGGGTCAAATTATTGGGTTGTCGGAAAAGTCATGACGTAGTTTTTCTATTTTTTCATTGCAAAAATGCGTCATGACTTTTCCAACAGCCCAGTAGTAGGGGCTGTCATCTGTGACCCTGCATGGGGCAGTAGGAGTTGCTGGGCCTTCAGCCAGAGTCGTGTCTGGGCTCCCTTCTTGGTTCTGCCACTCATTGTCTTTCCGGATGTGGCCATTGAACTCTTCTGAGTCTCAGTGACGTCATGTGTTCTAATCAGCTCGTGAGGACAAAGGGAGTATGTGTGTCCAGTACTTAGCACAATGTTTGTTGCATAGTAAATATTCACTAAATACGTGATCCCTCCCCGATTCTATAACCAGCATGCCCCGATAATATGGATCCACTGAGGGATGATGTTCTATTTCACAGAAAACCCTATTGCAGTTCTCTCCATATAAAAACCCTACTTAGGAATGACTTGTTCACAGAAATGACAATGGCAGCCTTTTCACCCCCTCCCCCATCTCTGCTACCAAACCACTTGCTGCTACATCTTTGGGAATCTCCTCCCTGGCCCACCCTGAGCTCCCACAGGACAGGACACTGCAGACATGCTCCCCCCTTCTTGTGTGTCTCTCACTGCTATCATGCTCTGCATAACCTGCCAGCCTATATTGGCAGAATCCCCCACCTCTTCCTTCTGCCTGAAGGAGCCCCAGCCTCACACCCTCAAAAAGTTGCAAACTCTAGAAGCCCTTGTCCCTGGGCTGGGCCTGGGTGTACTCTGGCATTCCCAGTTAGAGCTCCAACAATTTTCTTACAGCCATCTATCTACAAACAGTGGGGAAGTCGATCCTACTGTCCCAATTTATTTTATGACAAGCAAGTTCATATAGTAGCAAGAAATCTTGACCGTGAACTCAGGCTGCCTGGTTTCTGCTTCCCATTTTGCCACAGTCTAGCTGGGGACCTTTGCCCTAGTCATTTTGCTTCTCTATGCCTCAGTTTCTGCATATGTAAAAAGAAAAGACTGGACTAAACAATAATTCTTCCGGTTGATCATTCATCATGTGCCAGCCCCTATGCCGGGTGTGTGTGTGTGTGTGTGTGTGTGTGTGTGTGTGTGTGTGT